ATTCCAGGTCATTTTCACAAATGTTCGTTTACATGGTTTTGATGTCCACTTTCCTCCTAATTTCAGACTTCCATGTTATAACCTTTTGTGTAACATACACCTATTAATTGTGTGCAACAATTGATACCACTAATGTATGTACTATCAGTTAGCATAATTGTTGAAATTTCAACATTTTAAAGTTGAGAGTGATATAGTTTAATACAAAATGTTATCAAATGAGCTCATGTTTTATGCCTATTGATTGCATGTAATGAACAATTGAATTGGAAACAAAAAGAGCTCATATTTTAGGCCTTATGATCATTCTGTTGATTGACTGAATGCTACAAAATAAAAGATGTTATCAAACGGTCTCACATCTTATTATTTTTGTTTATATCAAGAGCAAAAGAAATATTTGCTGAAATACGAACAAATCCCTTGTTTGCATTAACATTGCAAGGGTGCATGCTGCAACACAATTATAGAGTTAGGAAGGGAGCAGAAACAGAGTAGTGAGCCATAAAGCGAGAGGGGAGCAAATTGAGAGGAGAGGGAACAGAGTGCAATTAAAAGATTGTGAGAGGGAGAGAGAGAGAGAGAGCAAATGACAAAGACATATATTAACACTATTACACTATTCCTCCTACTACTGCTACTACTACTACTATTATTGCTTCCAACACTAGTGGGAGAGGGGCCCTGGAAAAAAATGTGTAAAAACACGTTTTTTTTAACCTTTTTTTTGGAGATGGAGCCCCCCCCCCCCCCCCCTGGCGCCCAAGGGGGGGGGGCTGCGTTTTTTCAAATTTTCGAGGGCCCCAAAAAAATTAGTGGTCACTACCCCCCCCCCCCCCCCCCCCCCCCCCCCACCGAGCGAATTATCGACCGACGCGATTTTCAAATTTTAGGGAGCAAAAAAAAATTTAAATAAAAAAATCTGTGCTCACTACCCCCCCCCCCCCCCCCCCCCCGATGTTAACCGAAAAAACGGTAATTCTTGGTATATTGTCTAGGAATTATATTCTTTTTAATCATATAATATTAATTGCAAAGAAAAAACTTTACTTAATGCAATCCCATGTACTTTATTTATTTTGTTGGAAATGGAAATAAACGAAATGAAATGAAATGAAATGAAAAGAGTCTCTTGTCAAAATATAAGGGACACCTCTCAGATTTGTAAAGAGGCATTTATAAGAGGTGAAGGGGACTTATCAGAGATGAATAGGTGCACTTGTGAGAATTTAAAGGGGGCACTCTATCAACAGCATCCTCATTATCACGGCCCATAATCACTGTCATCATTTCCAGCACCCCTATAACCATCAATCCATCATCATTGTCATCGCCATTATCAGAGGCAGCGGAGCGACTTCTAAAATGGGGAAGGGGCACCCACAAAAAGGGCATTTTCTGGGGAAAAGGGGCACCTTCAAAAGGACATTTCAAAGCGAAAATAAACAATTTTGTAGACATTGGTATATACCCCTATATTGTGATTACATTATCAGGGATGATTTCGATATTTGTTTCTCTTTAGTGCATCATATAAAATATTGCTTACTGGCATCATACTTTGCAGTTGGGTGTGATGGTCTGAAAATTCATTTGCGAGCGAGGAAAAATTTAAGATTTGTGAGGTCGCAGTGCGAAATGTTACATCTTGAGAGGAAAAACCCAATCCTGATGGGGTTATAAGCACATTCTCATAACGGAAGACTGAAAAGACCTTTGGTAAGTTACATAATTATGATAATTATAACATCTATAAATACGAGCGAGCGTAGCGAGCATGGTTTGGGGTAACTGCTTTTAATCGCTTGAAATTAGGGATAAGATTAAGGATTAGTTTAAGGATGAGAGGAAAAGGGGACACTTATCAAAAGGGTAAAAACACTTATTAGAAAAGAAAAGGAGCACATGTCAAAGTACAAAGGCTAATTATCAGAGGTGAAAATGGGGCACTTCTTACACCTAAAAAAGAGATATGCACCAGGGATGAAAAGGAAATGGGCATTCGTCGACGGAAAAGAGGCACCCATCAGATTTTAATAGGGGCATTTATCGGAGGTGAAAGGAGGCTTTTATGAGAAGGGGGAAGTGGCTCTTATTAAAAAGAATAATATAAACGGGGCACTTATCAGAGATTAAAACAGTTAATTATGGGAAGGAGAAGGGGCACTTATAAGAAGGAAAAAGAGCATTTATTAGAAAGGAAAAGGGGGAACGTGTCAAAAGAAAAAGAACATTTATAAGAGATAAAAAGAGCACTTATCAGGAGGGGAAGGGGCACTTGTCAAAGTAAAACGAGTATCTCTCAGAATTGAAAAGGGTCATTTTAATACAAGAGATGAAAAGGGGCACTTATGAGCACTTAAAGAACTAATTTCATAGATGAAAAGGCCGGGGGCATTTACGAGAAGGGAAAGGGGCTCTTTTTATAAATGGGGGCACTTTTCATAAGGAAAAGGGGCACGTATTAAAAAGGAAAGGGGGCACATGTGAAAATATAAGGTGCGCTTATCCAAGTTAAAAAGGGGTAGTTATTAAAAGGGGAAGAGGCACTTTTTACAAAGCAAAAGGGGAACCTCTCAGATTTGAATGGGGCAATTATCAGAGGTGAAGGGGGCGCTTATCAAAAGTGAAAAGGGGCGCTTCTCTTACCTGAAAAGGGGAACTTACTACAGATTAAAAAAAGGCACTTATGAGAATGGAAAATGGACACGTATTGTAAAGGAAAATGGGAACTTGTCAAAGGAAAATGGGAACTTGTCAAAAGAAAAGGGATACGTGTCAATATAAAAGGGGCACTTATCAGAGGTGGAAAGGGGAAGGGGCACTTTGACAAATTAATAGGGGCACTTTTAGGGTACTTGAAAAAGTGGGAGGGCACTGTGCCCCCCCCCCCCCCCCGTGAGCGCCGCCCTTGGCCATCATACCAGCACAATTATCATCATCACCATCACATCCATCATCATTACGTCCATCATCACCATGCATTACCACCACCACCACCATCGATCATCATCATCATCATCATCATGCATTACCACCACCACCACCACCACCACCACCACCATCATCATCACTATGCTATACCACCACCACCACCACCACCACCACCATCATCATCATCACCATGCATTACCACCACCACTACCATCATTATCACGTCCATCATCATCATGCATTACCACCACCACCACCACCACCACCATCATCATCACCATGCATTACCACCACCACTACCATCATTATCACGTTCATCGTCACCATGCATTACCACCACTACCACCATCATCATTATCATCATTACCACCACCACCACCATCATGCATTACCACCACCACCACCACCACCATCACCATCATCATCATCACTGTGCATTACCACCACCACCACCATCATCATCACCATGCATTACCACCACCACCACTATCATTATCATCATCACCATGCAGCACCATCACCACCACCACCACCACCACCACCCCCACCACCATTCCCATCATCATCATAGCGTCCGGTGTCCGAACAAGTTGGTTATCTGGACAGTTAATTTCAATTGGAAAATTAAAGAAGTTTACAAGCAATGTGTCGTAAATCTTTTGGACTACATTCTAAAGAATACACGTTTATATTTTGTGCTATTTAGTGCTTATTTTTTGCAAAATACAAAGGCAAACGCGATTGCTTTTATTTGTTCAATCCACTCTGATATTAGGTTGGTTTTGATAAAAGCAGAAAATTGACAGAAACAGGTCAGTGAAAGTGTGAGCAAAAACCGATTAAAATAAGAAAGTTATAATTTGTTGAAGATGCAATCAATCAAACACAAATTAGCAACTCTGTGGCGTATCTTGCCAGGTCCCTTCCCATTTGCTTTGCAACTCTGTGGAGTATCTTGCCAGGTCCCTTCCCATTTGCTTTGCAACTCTGTGGAGTATCTTGCCAGGTCCCTTCCCATTTGCTTTGCAACTCTGTGGAGTATCTTGCCAGGTCCTTTCCCATTTGCTCTGCACTATATTTTTGTCCTAATGAAAATAATCAGTCATTACAATTATGGCAAATATGCTTTAATACAACAACTGTATGAAATAAATATATTTCGTCATTAATTACTAAGAAAATGAAAGTTTATGAAATGTTATGTCTAGAGCAAAACCACGGGGTGGAATTTCCACTAAAGTGTCTAGATAGACAACCCCGACCTACAAGGAACCTACTTATCACAATCGTGTCATCTTCTTTCAATACTATGCGACAAATCCTATTCCACTAACAATAGAAATGTGTAGATAACTCTCTCTCTCTCTCTCTCTCTCTCTCTCTCTCTCTCTCTCTCTCTCTCTCTATCTATCATGATTTATAACGACTGTTCATCTTAGTATTTGTTACTGTAAAGGCCGTTATGAGTTTATCTTGCGATGTAAATCTTTGATCTTTCTTGGGCAGACCCCTTTGGAAAAAAAAAGCTTTGGATCAATTTGCCACATCTATGGATAAAGTGAGATATGAATCCACATAAATAATATATTGCACACGGACAGAGTCAGAGATAGTAGTCTTTGGTGGTGGTGGTAGTTATTTACCCGACTGCTAAGAAAGCATAAATGCTTGTAAGTCAGCAACCAGACGGCCGGCGGCTTTAGGTCCCTCTCTGAGGGACCTGGTAATTTGGATTAATGCCTTACCAAAGGGCACTAGCGCATCGCCTTGGTTTCGAACCCGGGTCACCGCTCTACCAACTGAGCTATCGCGCCTCCTCTTCTCAATTCCAGACTCAATTCACCCCATTCATCTTCATGGAGAGGGTTAAACTCCCAAGGCCTGTATCATACTTTTCAGTTAAATCCAAGTCTGGTTCAAAAGGAAACTTATATCTCAGAATAACTCCTTTGGTTAAACCTATTTTTGATATTACGCCCAACAACAGGTTTACATTTCTGTAGAATACATGCTTTACAGTCTGGAATCAGGATGACACATAGAAATGAATTCACTTGACACATAAGTTTTTTTTAATCACACAATCTTTTACTCAAATCATTAGATATCAGATTTACATACAATGAAATATTATCCCCTATCTTACGTGAAATGATAATTGACATATATTCTAATATAACATTGAACCCCATCTGACATATAACTTTGAAATAAAAACCTTATAAGTTTTCAAAAGAACATAATTAAACTACAAACATAGAATGTAGAAAAGATAATATTATTTTAGTGAGGTTAGTATGCATTTTCAAAGATTTCAATTCACTAAAGGCCTATTTCGAATATTATTAAGGAGAATGTTATGATGCAAAAATTAAACAGAAAAATTACCTAATAAACAGCTGCAAGAAAATGAAAATTCAGTAAGTAACTTAGGTTTGCATTTGAATCTCAAAACAGAATATGACTTGTTTGGTAACATGCTATCATATGGCTAGTTCAAATACTAGAAACATGTACTACAAAGATGGAAGTTACAAGTTTATTCTCGATGCATGATTCTTCTTCATCAAAAGACTACAAAAGTTTGACCCTATATTGTTCTACAACGTAAAGAAGAAAACAATATGAAGATGGTCACAGACAAACTAATGTGAACAAAGTTACAAACATTTCTGTGACAACCATTTGCATCTGGAACATTGAAACATATGTGTGGCTAATGAAAAGAAGGGGAAACGCATTGCTATCTAATAGTCTAAGCCTACTGCAGTATTATTGGATATCATGACATGCTGTTTGCCATTTTGCTAAATACACAAATTACACTTTCTCTTTTATCTCTCACTAATTCTTAGAGAATGTAGAAAATACATATCACTGAAATACTATTTCCTGATAACTATAGCCACAAAGAGACAGATGCTGACATAGACTCCCACTACAGTGTATCCTAGTACAGTATCTTTAGATTAACAAGTTTTGCCTAATTAAAAAAACAAGGTTTCCTGGTGTTAATACGTTAGAGACTGCTAATCACACTCAAAGCAAATGTGATGGTTATAATCTATGCATGTTCTGTTTTTTGGCACCTTCTAGTATCTTCCTTGTTTTGTTTGAAATGTCATAAATGCAATTCTGCTGTTTTTTTTTAATTAGGCAAAGCTTTAAAATAAAACATCATCTACTGTGGAGAAAATCAAAATGGAAAAGAAATAAGAATTTACAGGTAGAGTACAGACAAAAGATAAAATAAGAATATGAGAGATCTAAGGCTACCACAAAAAATGCAATATTATAAACATCCCGTTGCAATACGCTGTCAAAAACTAACTTTCTTATATCTACCGATCACTACAATAAACAGTATTGCAAACTTTTATACAAAATAAGACATAATCATCATCAACCCTTGCTTTTCTTATTTTAATAAGAGCTCCAAGTTTTATTTTTTTTTCACACTAATACAAACACATCGCAAATTAATTGATGACCAAAACCCATTTTGAATGCTTAAGTAATTGTGTATGTATTTGATGTAAATAACTTTTCAAATCATGAAGCCAATCATACATCATTGGATCAAACCACAACAAAATTGGAGAAAAATTGGCAATTTGAATTACACATCAATAGCTGATTGAGCTTCCCTCCCGTTTAATATCAACGCCACCATTCTCCTGAAAGGTTGGGGCAGAATGGTACCCTTTCTCCGTTTCTCGTCATCTCGTGCAATCTTCTCCCCAAATTTGAATGTTGTATGATCATATCGGTCCGTATTCTACCAATTCAGTTAAACCTGACCCCGAGTCTAATATCATGTTTAAAAAAAGAGAAATCAGACCTCAGATCCCAAGAACAACATTTTGTAGAACACGGGTTAGGGTTCTGGGCCTTAAAGATAACAATACCCAGATCTGTCTAAATATCCTACATCTTTACAATCCTTCCTGACCACAGCTGCAATCAACATCATAGAAATCTACACACCTCCAATAGAATGGATACACCCTACCTCTACCAATAGCTCCCTGTCTTGCAAGGAAAGGTTTACCTTAAAGAAAAAAGTTAGTACAATTTCGATTTTAATCATTACTAGCAGCATTGGAGAAATTCAATACCTTATATTTCTGTAAAAAATTGTCAGAGCAAAATTGTATTAAGTTTGTTTGAGGAAAATAACAACAATCAAGGCTGAAAAAGATTTATTTCTAGAATTTAAAGAGTTTTGGGTGATTCATGTGCCAGTTAACCAGTACATTAAAATCAATATCACTTTGATACATTCCTAGAGATATCAAAATATGTGAAAACTCCATCATTATTAGAGGTGGGTAACTGAAGTGATGATAGACTAGCATTACATGTACCCCTAGAATATAACAAATGCAAACAATGTTACATACATGCTATTGCTTCTTCAGTCAGATGCTGAATCTTTTGAAGTTTTAGGATTTCAAACATTGACTACTAACCAAAAACCACTTCATTTTCTGAATGCTGTAAGTCCTAAATTACTATTTCATCTGTTGCGAGTTTGGTAAAATTAGTGGGCCATAATAGTACACTTCGTATCAGTTCGATGTGGCCGTATAACATTCTTTTGTGCAGTCTTTCTTTTATCCATTCCAACAAAAACAATCAAGCAAAATGTATCAGTCAGTGTTCAAAGTTCTTGTACCTGGCTATGTAAATCCAATTTGTGTGCCACTCAAGCTCTTACCAATAGGACAGACCACTTGCGACTGTTAATTCTATTGCAGTTTGTAAGTGGGAAACTTCATAAACAGAGATGGCTAACAAATGAAACATTTTGCAATCAACAAGGTTTCACAAAAATGATTTGTGTGATCAGATCATATGTAAAATATCTGTAATAGTAAAATGGTGATACATCATTTCTCTTGCATTGGTCACCTTTCTTTTTTGTTTTTTCTCTCCAAGAGTTAATATATCACATGATCTGGAGAGAAGAATTTGATAGGCTATCTATATGTCCACATGACAAAAAAAATTGCATAAAATAAAGGGCAACTATCTATTGTTTACACCCAATGATTGGAACATATTCTTATTTTCTATGGAGGGCCAATGAAGTAGAGAGAGGGGAGGAGGAGGAGGGGGAGGAGGAGAGGAAGGGGGGAGGGCAAGAGGGGAAGGGAGGAAGTGATATTAGTCTTTAAGGTGCTCGCCGTATTTTCTAGTGTGTTCTTCGGCATTTTTCATAAATTTCTTTTTGTCCTTGGTGTACTCCTCTGCTAGGTCTGCCCTTAGAGGATGGTCGGGCTCAGGATCATGGATTAAAGCAACCAGGGCTTGGATGACTGCACGAAAAGAACAAAAAAACAAAGAAAGAAACTTCAATGCTGTGTAATCATCAATATAATCATCACCAACATCATTTTTTAATCCTGGGCAAAAGCAACCAACTCTACTACTGCTACTGCTACTGCTGCTTCATGATGCTACTGCTACTCTATGATGTTTGCATGTTCTGCATGCCTTTAGAGAAATGTGATTGTATATGTACCAGATGCACGGATATTCTACAAAATCAGCTGTAGAGCAGATACGGAGAGGTGCACGGAGAGGTGCACAGCCATGTTTTTCTTTTAAACGCCCTGCCCCTTGAGGTACTACTCAGATTCTATTGTGGATAGCATATTAGTAAAGGTTCTCTGAAAAGAAAAGACATTCCTGAGTCATAGATTTTCGCATGTACACTATATTACTTAAATGGCCATATTACTATTATCATCAAGATCATAATATCATTGGTGGGGTGACAAAACCTTGTATCTCAATTTTTTGAGATTTTGATTTTTTTGGGATAATTTTGTACCTAATGGCCTACGACACCACCTGATAAATCCATCCTCCTTCTCGGTTTTTTCACAAATTCCACACAAACACCCTTAAACTAAACCTCTTAATTTTAACCCCCTATGAAGCTGCACTGACAAAACCTCGTAACATAAGATACGTAATTCCTTTTCCTTGTAACTCACACACGGCCTAACAGTACCGAAGTTAGTGTATTCAAATCCTCATACCTTATTCAACCAAATCCTCGTAACTCATTCAGAGTTGAAAGTAAGAACTTGTATCTCAATTTGAATAAAAACTAAAAACTCGTATCTCAATGTAGATAAACGCAAAAACCTTGTAACTCACTTTCAAATATAAAAACGATTATTTTACTGTATTTCAACAATGACATTAAAAATTGTATAAATATTCCAGTTTTAAAAAGAAAGGACGGTGTCACAGCACTAAATTTGTTGAGAAAGGAAAGTTTTTTCGCTCTCCTGAAAATTCATCATTTTTGAGATACAAGGTTTTGTCACCCCACCGACGATATGATTAAGCATAATATGAGTGGTTCTTACTTTGGTCTGTCTTGGTAGCTGGCTTCCAGTTCTCTGGAGAGATGATAGGCAGACATACTTGACCCTTCTCATCAATGTTGGGGTGGTAGATTTTCGTTGCGAAAGTTATCCTGGGGGGCTTGAAAGGGTATTCTGCAGGGTACACTATATCAACCTTGAATCCAGCTTTAGAAAAGGGTGGATTGCTCTGTCACACAAGTAGAGGACAAAAAATGAAAGAAAATATGAGATGAAACAAATACAGAAAAACAGAAGTCAATATATCTGTTTCAATGTAAAGATATTAAAGGGATCCGGTAACTTTGTCTCAGATTCTGAAACAAAATCCTGGATTTAGCTCATGCTGCAATGATAACTATAAACCTTTAGGTCAGTCAGGAACCCCATGACTTTTACAAGCCGATCGGGCTTCAATATTACACCATATCACAGACAGTGATAACACGTAGGGCCGTGCATCTCAGATTTAACATTGTTAAACGATGCCTTTAAGCTTTATAACAATATGAAGTGTCAAGGACCCTATGAAAAAAAGGTTTGCGACCAATTGCAAATTTAAAGTGACGATTCTGATTGGATGTTCAGCCTTTTGAACAATATGTGCATGCAACAATGATCTTGATTCGTCATTGTCATTTTGCAAATGATTGCAAAACATTGTGTTACAGGGTCAAGGCTGAAATACCACAGAAACAGGCTACTGACATCTTGAAGGAGAGAAGATACACAATGAGAAATTAACTGTCTAACTAAAAAGCTGAGAAGGGAGCCATCACCAAAATCATTTTGCTTTGGCTGATAGCGTCTCCTTGCCGCTATACTTTTCTGGAAACAACTCTCCTTTTTGTTGTACACTATAAACCCAGGTATTCCTATTTCTTTCCTAAGTAACTTTTCTCTCCATTCTTGACAAATCTTGTGATACTATTCAGCATGTTGCTACATGTACATCAGAAACAAAATGAGAAAAACAATGATTATACTATAGTACTGTAGGAGTAAATGATAGTTGTTCAATAGTACTGTAGGAGTAAATGAGAGTTGTTCAATAGTACTGTAGGAGTAAATGAGAGTTGTTCAATAGTACTGTAGGAGTAAATGAGAGTTGTTCAATATTACCAAAGAGTGACAACAAATATGAATGTAACTACCCAACTTGGCAATTTGAAATTCATTCATTGAAGATGATCCTGATTTTTGTTTCAAAAAATCGACATCATTATCTGCGAGAAGGCAAAGGCATCAGCCTGTAATTCCTGGTATGAAGGGTTCTGGCAGGAGTTTGTATAGAACTGGTCTAAAAGTATCCCAATTGCGAGGACATAGTAAGATCACGAATAAAAGCTTGAATTGATATTTTTTACTCTTGTTGGGGAAAATTTACCTTTGCATTTCTCTGTGTGGACTTAGTGCTCTATACTTGGCACTGAGCACCAAGGGTGATTTGTACAAATAAGAACCATGCATGCATGCTTTATACGGTATGTAACTTATACTGCAGTCACATCAAGACCGACTGCCCAACTACAGGCAAAACACAACTTAACATTACCTCCATTAACTAAGAATTGGTCAGTTTAGAGCAGAGGTAGGGTCGGTTTAGAGTCAAAGTAGGGTCGGTTTAGGGTCGAAGTAGGGACAGTTTAGGACCGAAGAAGGGTTGGTTTAGAGGCAAAGTAGGGTCAGTTAAGGACCGAAGTAGGGTTGGTTTACGGGCGAAGTAGGGCAGGTTTAGGGGCAAAATGGGGTCAGTTTAAGGCCGAAGTAGGGCGGGTTTAGGGGCAAAGTAGGGTCAGTTTAGGACCGAAGTAGGGACGGTTTAGGGGCGAAGTAGGGCGGGTTTAGGGGCAAAGTGGGGTCAGTTTAGGACCGAAGTAGGTTTGGTTTACGGGCGAAGTAGGGTTGGTTTGGTGATGTGATTGAAAGTGAGTGATCTGCTCATGGAAGTCAAATATGGTCTACTTACTGGTGCAAGAAGAATCTGCCAAATTAGAATACTTGATGGATCTATGTTCACCGTCTTAACGCATGGTGTACTGTTCTTTTTGATGTCATCCAGTTCCTGTCAATGGCACAGAGAATCACAAAGTGGGGAGAAAAAGAAAGTAACAAAAAATTAGGCACTTGTTAAACATGGAGTGATATGATATCAATTTAAATATGACAGAACAAAGTTATATGTTTGCTGTATGTTTTTATTTATTATTATTTTATTCCAAAATTGTGTGTGTACATGTATGTTGAATTCTTGACCAATGTACCAATGCACCCTTTTCTACAAGATTCCTCACTGTCCATCACTGTCTTGTCTCCATATCCAAGTATCTTCATCTCTGCTACATACTTCAGGAGGCAAGACCAAAACCTGCAGTCTGTATTACCTGATGCAATCATTGACTCCTTCAAGTTTTCTTAATATCCAAGAACATTAAGACTCTGGAACCATGTGACAGGCTCAGCACTCAGCAGTCAATGTGAAATGAATAACCTACTTCAAGGAGACTGCTCTACCCTTCATTATAATGATGCAACCTCCTGTAGGCTCTCAAAAACATGAGGTTTGAATTAAAGTGATTCAGTAACATTGTTGATGAAAAAAATGCGTAATTTTTGTATGAAATGTTACTTATTATATTCTTTTTACTATACTAACCCTCTAACATGCAAAAAATCCAGAAAAAAATTCTCAAAACACAAAGATATATTTATGGTTTTCTTTGGAGGCGTCACTGTGCGACACCCTCTAACAGTAAATTCTCCCAACCATTTTTGAATTTTCCCAACCGTTTTTCAATGAAAATAAGACATAGATAGGCCTTTTAAAATCCTTCTACACTTAAATGTTTGGAATGGAATATAGAGCCAAATCGTTGGGAGAATTAAGGAATCGATCAGATCAGTTTCCCTTTTTATCTTCTTCTTCATTAATAATGGTCTGTTTTCACTCAAACTTTCAGATTATCTTTAATTGTACATCTAAATTGGACCATTTTTCCTCAACTGAACAATGTTACCAAGTCCCTTTAACTGGCGTGGTTATTACTTGCACCGGACTTTGAATATTTTAATGTGAATTGATGAAGTGCTTTGTCCACACACCATTTCGGCACTTCATGGCACTCATTGCAGCTACTTGCCTCACCTAACATCTCAGTATAGCTTCCTGAGTGAGCTGCTAAAGGGATTACTTCATCAAGTATCAAGTACTGTACATGTAGTGCCAGGGGCGGATCTAGCTGGCGGCAAGGGAGGAGGCGCAAATCAAGACCTACCCCCTCCTATCCCCTTCCGCCAAGGGGAGGGGGCCCGTCTTCTTTTTATTAAAAAAAAAAGTTAAATTTACCTGTTTTGGGGGCCAGGGGAGGTATTTGGTCTTTCAATAATTAAAAGAGAATTTAATGTTTTCCCCCATTATGTCTTAAGTGTAGTGTTGTAACATCACTGGACGGTTTTCAATTAAACGATTAAAACAATTATTTAAAAAAAATTAATTTATGTTTAAATTGGAAAATCAAATGAAATAACAGCACTAACAAATAATGTACATAATTAGAAACAAAATCACTGAACAAAAATGGGGACATTTCTGTCGGGCATGCTTTGGAACAATGACTGGCTTTCACTTTGTTTATGAAGCTAATAAATCATGTATTCATGTTTACAGCTCACGATCGTGACATTGCAGAGGTCAGGATTTGGGATTTAAATGGCATCAGTGAAGTATTGTGCATGTATTTCAAGGCTGGGAACTTAGTTTTACGAGTCAACTTCTCAATCTACAATCTTGCAATTGATTGTTATCTTGTAGATTGTTCTGCAATTTAACAGTCAGGGCTGACTTATGATGACTATAGTGTCGCCCAAACTTGTTTCTGTTCAGTAATTTTGTTTCTAATTATGCACATTTTTTGTTGATAATGTGATTTCTTTTGATTTTCCTATGAAAAAAAAAATTATTTAAAAAAAATTAAAAAGAAAAAAAAAAAGAAAAAGAAAAAAGAAACCGTCCAATTGAAAACGGATAGTGCCATGAACGGTCGGATACCAGACGGTTAAACGTTTGACTACAGCACTACTTAAGTGTCCAAAGTTTGGCGGTCTTACTCTACCCCTATTGTAACGGCCTCGATCCCGATCAATTATTACAAAGACTTGAAATAAAGTAGAAAGTCTATGCAGGACTTCTTCCCCAAGTCAACTAAAGAATATGCAGAGTCAGAATGGGCGCTAGTCGGAAAGTCTATATCCAAAATTTGACCCGTAACTCAGGCGTGGAGATACCCTACTAAAACATACCCAAAATGAAGCAAATATTCATCAAATGTCCAAATAAAGGTCATGATTTAAAAGTCGATATGTTTGTTACCTGTTTCGTGGCAATTTTCTTATTTTTTTCGGAGCATTTTTCCTAAAAACAAAGACTTATTATATGCACTTTCTCAGAGGATACACAATTACACACCGTCGCCCTACTTTTATTATATCATGACCTTTATCTGGACATAGAGTCTATACATTTGATGAATATTTACTTCATTTTGGGGATGTTTTAGTAGAGTAAAGGAGGGGTTTTTCGACCACTTAAGACAAAATCCTATTTTTGGGACTCTTTACTTCCTATTTATTATCATTTCTTGTTTAAATCATGAAGCAAATATTATTATTTAAACAAAAAAAGAATCCCAGAAAAAAATCACGAATTGCCATGACAATATTCATTTCAATTTTCACTGTTTCGGAGGCAGTTATCGGCATAGCGAGCCACTTTTTGCGACCGCATGTACAAAGTCAATAGGAAGTGCGCACGCGTGTCGCGCGTTTTCGCGCTGATCTATAGCACTAGCAGGCGGAGCAAGTATCCCACGCCGGAGCTCCCGGGTGCTCGCCATGTCGTAAACTAGCTCTGCGTTGATCGGAAATTGGAATCTGAATTAGACAGAGATATCGTGTGTGCGTTGCGGTGTCTGGCTGCATTGATTTAATACATGCGATGATATACTTTTGAGCTTGCGACTCGCACAAAATCGGCCTCTAAATCTGAAACATACTTGAAATAAAGCTCATTTTATGATACCCATATTTCTTACAGACACGTGCAAGATACTCAATTTTTCAGATTCGGGTAGCGGGACCGCCGATTACATCGCTAAAATGTGATATTTTAGGATATATTTTCCAGTGCAAATGTGGTTCTTCAGTGACTCTGGCATGGTATGGTATGCTATTATGCGATGTATTTCAGTGGCGGATCCAGGGGTGGGCCGAAACGGCCGCGGCCCCCCCTATTGGCGAAGCAAAAAAATTGAGAAGGAAAAAAGAGGAAGAAAAAAAGAAGGGAATAAAAAAGGGGGAAAAAGGAGAAGATAAAAGAAAAGAGAACAAAAAGTAAAGAAAAGAGAGAGAGTTCAAAAAAGAGGAAAGAAAAAGAAGAGAGGAGCCGGTGAGAAAGCAAGACAACGAAATGGCACTAAAAATTAGTGACAGTAACGACGAATAAGGGAAAGACAAGGGGAAGGGGGTGCGTGAAGGCGGATGCATTAAGGGGAGGGGGGGGGGGGGTGACTGGCCGTATTCTTATTTTTAGGTTATGCGAAACTTAGTCGAAATTATGCTTCTTTTCAAAACAATCTTAGCATGCTTGTTTATGTTAAGCCGGAGTGCATGAAAAGGTTAGTGTAGAAACACTTCTGAAAAGGCCGCGCCCGGCCCCTCCAAAGAACGGCAGAATGGTAATCTATAAATTATGGGGTCATTCTTGATGGCTTGGGAGTCGTTATTAAGGAGGGGGCCGGCCCTACTCAAATGGTAGTGACGGTAACGATGGATAAGGCAGAGGGGGGGGGGGGGGGGGGGGGGGTCAAACCCCCCTCAAATTTTTGTCAAGTTGTCAAGTTGGTCCTGATGTGTATAATGCGTAGACCAGGGGTTCTCAAACTTTTTCTTTGACGGTCCAGAAGCGATTTCTATGAAAGCTGTAAGGTCCGAAATGACACTTGTATACTGAAGATAATGAGGCTTGTTTTTGGTCTATATCTGATCCAAGGAGAATTGTTACAGTTTAAAAAAAACCAGAACCGCCAGTGCTTCCACTCGTTTAAATAGAGTTTCCTGAAAAAGAACACCCAATATCCTGGCATTTGAAAGAATTTTCTTAAAACATTCAAAATGCCTCTTACGTGGATTTCTTATTTGGATGAATCGCTATGACGTTTTAATATGTATCAATTATTGAGTGGGCTTATTTTGCTTTCTAATGGATCCATACAACGTGGCAGAGCTTGAGGGGTCTGGTAGAGCCTTTTCAAGAAAGAAATTGTCTTTAGAGAAAAAAAGAGGTTATTTCTAAAATGAAATGAAAGGGTTATTGACTTTCAAGAGAGAAAATTGTCTATAAGAGAGGAAGAGAGGTTATTTCTAAAATGAAATGAAAGGGCTCTTGTCAAATAGCCCTTTCATTTCATGTTTTCTCTCGAAATAAACTCTCTTTCTCTCTGATAAACAATTTTATGAGATGGAATCTTCAATCTGAAGCCTTTTTGTGCTCTTTGAAAATGGCACACTGAATGGGGGCAGTGCAATTTAAATTTCAAGGGATGGATTAGAGTTTTTATCGCTCTTGAAAGTCAAATAGCCCTTTCATTTCATTTTAGAAATAAACTCTAATACATTCCTTGATATTTAAATTGCGCCGCCCCTATTGTGTCCTCTTTTTAAAGAGCACAACAGAACCCTCAGATTAGGCAGCAAGTAGCAAAACAAACCCGTAACACTGGACACAACATTCAATGGGATGATGCCCATATCATTGAGTTTGAAACGCACTTCTGGTCAAGAATGGTAGAAGAAGCATCTGCATAAAAAAGGATGAATCCTTCACTGAATAGGGATTCTTGCTATACACTTTTACCTTTGTGTAAATAATAAAAAGTCCACGGGCGTGGTTGTTAGAAGCTTAAACTACATAAAACTCTCTCCAATTTTGCAGGGGGAGAGCCTTTGTCGGGAGTCTTTAATAATAAAAGGGATAAATCCTTCACTGAATAGGGATTCTTGCTATAATGTTACCTTTCTTCGCTCCAGTGATCTCGAGGCAGCAGACAGCAAGAAATTGTGTAAATAATTCGCTGTTGCCGGGAGTCTTGCATGGGGCGGAGCACCAGGAAGTTCTTGAACTTTAATTTTTTTTAGGAAATTCCAAATAGTCGTCATGAGCGATAGAAATTGTAATTTCCTCCTTGAGAGTCACATACCCCCTTTCATTTCATTTTAGAATTTAACCTCTCTTTCTCTCTTAAAGACAATTTCATATAACTTCTGTTTTCGTATTGTTGTACTTTCGTCCGCAGACTACTTAAGCACATGTCGAGCCAACTCAGTCGGAAATGTAATATGTAGGCCTAAGTGTAAAGTTAAGTTTCATGTTCTTCCTTTTTTCTTTCTTTCTTTCTTTCTCTCCCTCTCTCTGTCTCTCTCCTTTTCCTCTATCTTCTTTTAAAAAAAAAAAATCTTTCTTTTCTTCTCATTTTTCTGTGTGTGACATGCGTTGCGCGTACGTCTATCAATGTCTTAATATGGTAGATTTACATTTTGATGTTTCCCTTTGTAGGTGCACCTTATATTCCAGAAAGTGCCCTATTTTGATGGTGCCCCCCCCCCCCCATGTATTGATCTCGATAAAAAAATAAATTTCTCATTAATTCTATTTCCAATATATCTAATACTTGCACTAATCTCCAATTTAAAAAAAAATCGTCTACTTTCTCTCAAAACAACATTATATAAAGGATTCATTAATGCAAGGCTATCACGCGAGTAATCTCTCAATTTCTAACTTCCTGCTTTCCTCATCTCCCAGTCTCCCTTGCTTTAATATTCCTCGTTACTTCCTTCCAATTGAACTCCAACTTAATTGATGTTATACACTGTATCTATTCTTCAACTACAGGTAGATGCAAATGTTACTCAAAATCCATTATATAAATCACACTCAGGATACAGCCAATCGACGAGAATTGCTTCAATCTATATTTTACATGTATCATTAATATATGGTTTTACAATGGCTATGGTGATGAGTTGTCTAGGTAACATGTTGATGTGTTTGTTAAAATGTATTACCATGGTGCACCTTCTTGGTTACAAACAAATTATGTGTATGTATTAACGTAAGTTCGTGCCTTTACATATCACAGTAGAAATCAATGTTTTATATTTGATGCAGAATAATATTAATATTTGGAGATTAGAAACACAAACAGTTTCCATAACCGTTCAAGTGTTTCAAGGAAAAGTTAAGAAAACTTTCTCCTGGATGTAAATTGGAATTTTAAGCGGTTTCATTGGAATTAATCGAGAAATTCCCCTCGCTAGCGTGTAAATAAAAATACGCCGGCCGGCCATACGTAAATGGCAGTGACGGTAACAACGGATTAGGAGGAAGGGGTGCATACGTGAACTACAAGCGATGATGATGGGGCGGGTGGCAGGGGTAGGGGGCAAAGTTCGCCCCACTCTTCAAGTACCCCCCTCCCCAAAGGGCCACTTTTACTTTGTAAAGAAGTGCCCCTTCCCCTTTTTAACTCGGATAAGCGCACATTTCATCAACACATGTGCCCCCTTTCCTATCTGATAAGGGCTATTTAGAAAAATGAGGCCCTTCATAAATAAAAAGTGTCCCTTTTCATCTCTGGTAAATGACCATTTTCATATATGAGAAGTTAATTCTTTTCACTTCAGTGCGCTCTTCACCTCCGATAATTGCCCCTATTCAAATCTGAGAGATGCTCGTTTTACTTTGAAAAGTACCCCTTCCCCTCCTGATAGGTACTCTTTTCATCTATGATGGGTGCCCATTTTCACCTTTGCTAACTGCCCTTTTATTTTGAATCGTGCCCCTTTCCCTTTCTATTAAGGGACCTATCCCCTTTTCATAAATGCCCCTTTTCACCTCTGATAAATCAATTTCTGATGGATGCCCCTTTCCGTCGACAAATGCCCATTTCCCATACTCATAAGTGCCCAATCTCATTTCTGGTGAGTGCCTCCTTTCAGGTGTAAGAAGTGCCCAGTTTAAACCTTGATAATTACTCTTTGTACCTTGACACATGCTCCTTTTCTTTTCTAATAAGTGTCTTTATCCCTTTCGATATGTGTCCCCTTAACCTCTCATCATCAGGCTTGAGGCACGGGGGGGGGGGGGGGGGGGGGGGGGGGGGGGGGGGGGGGCACGTGCCCCCTAACCTGCTCATCATTAGTCTTGCACTAATTTAAAGCGACTAAGAGTAATTTCCCCTAAAGCTTGCTTGCTCGCTCGCATTTATAGATGATACAATTATATGTCACTTTAAAACAAATGTTTTTTCAGTCTTCCGTGATGCTTATAACCCCATCATGATTTGTTTTTTTCCTCTTTATAAGATGTAATTTTTCACTCTGCGACCTCACAGATCTTACATTTTTTTCTCGCTCGCTTTGCTCGCTCGCAAATGAATATTCAGACAATCACACTCAGCCGAAAGTGTGATGCTTAAGCAATAACTTGTATGATATATAAAGAAAAACAAATATTGAAATCGTCCCTGATAATGGGATCACAATGAAAGGGTATATACCAATGTCTAAAAAAATGTATAATTTCGCCTTGAGATTTCGCTTTGTAGGTGCCCTTTTTTGTTGGTGCTTTCCACTTTGGAAATAGCTCCGCCGCCCCTGCTTACGCATTAGCGCCAGCGTTAATTTCACGCTTGCACGCACAGGGTGTGTGTGTGTGTGTGTGTGGGGGGGGGGGGTGGTTCCTCTCTAGCTCTGAAGCTGATTTTTTTTTTACCTAGATTCGTGCGATTCGGTTAATACTTTTAGAGGGAGTCTGAGGGGTGATGTGCCCCCCTCTGAAGCTGACATTTTTTTGGATTTTTGAAACTGGATTCGTGCGTTTTGGTTAATACTTTTTTGGGGAGTCTGATTTGATTTCAAAACACCTGCAGTTAATGCGGGATGGTGTTGCAGCCTCTCTTTCCCCGAAAATTTAAAAATTACCAATATGCATTTGTTATATCTTATCTCGTATATTTTGGTGACAATTAACACTTTTCACAACATACATAAGCTCAAATTTCCGCTCACTCGCCAAATTATTAAACCAGGAAATAGATATTGGGGCTAGAGGCTTCAGCCCCCACTGATGGAAATGTCAAAAAAATTGCGCGCGAGCATAACTTGAAAACGGGGAATGTTGATATCGGACAAGAGATGTGACGTGAGCATGTCCCCTTTCCAAAATAATTGTGCCCGTTTGTAGGTACCAGTACACTATTAAAGTCCAGTGCTTCTAATATGACCTTGTCAGTATTGGTAAGTTTAAATAATGGTCTGCGCGAATTTCGAATTTCCGGCCCCCCCTATTGGAAAATCCTGGATCCGCGCCTGTATTTTAAAGGGATCTTACCATGCATCCAACAGATCGGCCGAAAACTGGAGATGCTTGATTACCCCCTCCTTACTCTATCTAGATCTAGGGCATCTTCACGCTGGAGACTGGGTCAAAGTTTGGATAGACTTCTGAACTAGTGCCTCAGAATGGACTAAAGAAACTATTGTACAACATGGAACTTAGGGACTTTTAGCCTTTGAAAACAAAGCAATTTTACAACAGTGTGTAAAATATTGCACCCCTTTCGTACAACTGCGATATCACCGAAGTGTATGCATGGGACCGTCAATAAAAACAACGCCTTGTTTTCCACACAATGAAATTACGCAAGGTGTCAGGCGAATGGCCGTTTCCGCTCATCTGATTACAATCATACACTCATGGCTAGATCTTACAATTATCTAGCAATGTAAAATTGAAGATCTTTTCATTTATTTTTCATAAAGAGGAAGGATAATATAAGAAACTTGACCTCTTACCTTCTTTAACCTCCTTGTAGCCGCCATGATTAAAGCAATCTCACGGTGCGCGCGTGATCGTGAGCGAGCGAGCATGAAACCAGCCCGCATGCAGTACGTACACACCGTCACACACGGAAACAGCACGTCGAAATTATAGGGAAGTTGAAAGGTGCATAAAACAAGATACCGTTGAGCATTTAGCCGACTACACCTGTAGGAAATAATACATATTGATTAATTGATCTAATATCTTTCTTCCATTATTTGCGGTTCTTTTAGTCCACTTTTTCTATTTATGTTCAGCAACCAAGCAACTGACCATCATCAAAAAGAAAGAGGATAATCCTAAAGGACGAATAATTCCCTCTTCTGAATTGGATAACGGTACTCGATGATGAGGGGGTCGTTGGGAGGGGTTGGGACTCATTTTTTGGGAGATGGTGGCCGTATTACGTACGTGCGGTGGTGGTATCTAGTTATGGGGAGGGGGCACTTATTATTTCAATGATGATATGAAATGTGAGGAGTTGGAGAGAGAGACCTGTCCAAATGCGCGGGAGGGCATACTTTTCCTCCTCACTTACGCAGGCCTTTAAAAATAATAAATACGGTACAGGCGCGGATCCAGGATTTTCCAATAGGGAGGGCCGGAAAATTGCGCAGACCGTTTTTCAACTCAACATACCAATACTGACAAGGTCATATTAGAAGCACCATACCGGTATTTTTTTTTTGGCATTTTCATCGGGGGGGGGGGGGGGCTGAAGTCTCTTGCCCGAAAAGTAATTCTCTGGTTTCACAATTCGGCTAGTGACCGAAGCGAGCGAGCAAAAATTTGAGGATAATATGTATTTCGTGAAAGAGTTATTTATCACCAAAATATACGAGAAAAGATATAACAAATTCATATTCGGGCAATTATTTTGGCAAATTATTAGAGAAAGAAGAGGATTCGTTGTACCATTCTCGACTCCTAATCCTTGTCTGAATTTAGTTCCTCTCCCCCCCCCCCCCCTATCCCGCGCGAAGCGCGGAAGTTTTGACCTTTCATTAAATGATATTAGAGAAAGAAGACGATTTGTTGTACTACCATTCTCGACTCTTATTCCTTGTCTGAATTCAGTTTCCCCCCCTCCCGCGCGAAGCGCTGAAGCATTGACCTTTCATAGTTTAATGAAATTATTAGAGAAAGAATATAATTCGTTGTACCGTTCTCGATTCTTGATCATTGTCTGAATTCATTTTCCATACTTCCTCCCGCGCGAAGCGCGGAAGCTTTGACGTTTCATTAAATCATTAGAGAAAGAGTACCGTTCTCGACTTTTAATCCTTGTCTGAATTGAGTCCCCCCCCTCCACCTCTCCCGCGCGAAGCGCGGAAGCTTTGAGGTTTCATTAAATTATTAGAGAAAAAAGACGATTCGTTGTACCGTTCTCGATTCTTAATCATTGTCTAAATTCAGTTTCCATACCCCCTCCCGCGCGAAGCGCGGAAGCTTTGACATTTCATTAAATCATTAGCGAAAGAGTACCGTTCTCAACTCTTAATCCTTGTCTGAATTGAGTTTCCCCCCCCCCCCCTTTCTCGCGCGAAGCGCAGAAGCTTTGACGTTTCATTGAATTATTAGAGAAAGAAGATGATTTGTTGTACCATTCTCGGTTTTTCATCATTGTCTGAATTCAGTTTCCCCCCTCCCGCGCGAAGCGCTGAAGCATTTACCTTTCATGGTTTAATGAAATTATTAGAGAAAGAATATAATTCGTTGTACCGTTCTCGATTCTTGATCATTGTCTGAATTCATTTTCCATACCCCCTCCCGCGCGAAGCGCGGAAGCTTTGACGTTTCATTAAATCATTAGAGAAAGAGTACCGTTCTCGACTTTTAATCCTTGTCTGAATTGAGTCTCCCCCCCCCCCCACCTCTCCCGCGCGAAGCGCGGAAGCTTTGAGGTTTCATTAAATTATTAGAGAAAAAAGACGATTCGTTGTACCGTTCTCGATTCTTAAAGGTAAAGACCAGTATTGGTCATGCGATTGCATTGTGAAAGAAACGTTGTGGAATCGATCATAAAAGGTTGATCATCTAGCATCTAGCATCTTCAAGGTTCTGGAATCATCAAAATGATAAGAAATTTGGCCGATTCTTCGTAAAGTTACAAGCACTATACACAGAAAGATGTATATGGGACTACCCTATATCTCTCACAGACCATGAGAGAAATAAATTTACCAAATATATGAATTAGTAGGCGGTTTCCCGCAAATTTTTTATCATCATGTATTAGTCAAAACATATTCTTTCACATGATTGGTAATGAGAGCTTCCATTTCATTTTTTGAAATTGGGGCGTTTCCAATACTGGTCTTTACCTTTAATCATTGTCTGAATTCAGTTTCCATATCCCCTCCCGCGCGAAGCGCGGAAGCTTTGAGGTTTCATTAAATTATTAGAGAAAAAAGAGGATTCGTTGTACCGTTCTCGATTCTTAATCATTGTCTAAATTCAGTTTCCATACCCCCTCCCGCGCGAAGCGCGGAAGCTTTGACGTTTCATTAAATCATTAGAGAAAGAGTACCGTTCTCGACTTTTAATCCTTGTCTGAATTGAGTTCCCCCCCCCTTTCTCGCTCGAAGCGCAGAAGCTTTGACGTTTCATTGAATTATTAGAGAAAGAAGATGATTTGTTGTACCATTCTCGGTTCTTCATCATTGTCTGAATTCAGTTTCCCCCCTCCCGCGCGAAGCGCTGAAGCATTGACCTTTCATAGTTTAATGAAATTATTAGAGAAAGAAGATAATTCGTTGTACCGTTCTCGATTCTTAATCATTGTCTGAATTCATTTTCCATACCCCCTCCCGCGCGAAGCGCGGAAGCTTTGACGTTTCATTAAATCATTAGAGAATTAAAGAGTACCGTTCTCGACTCTTAATCCTTGTCTGAATTGAGTTCCCCCCCCCCCCCCACCTCTCCCGCGCGAAGCGCGGAAGCTTTGACGTTTCATTAAATTATTAGAGAAAGAAGACGATTCGTTGTACCGTTCTCGATTCTTAATCATTGTCTGAATTCAGTTTCCATACCCCCCTCCCGCGCGAAGCGCGGAAGCTTTGACGTTTCATTAAATTATTAGAGAAAAAAGACGATTCGTTGTACCGTTCTCGATTCTTAATCATTGTCTGAATTGAGTTCCCCCCCCCCTCTCTCGCGCGAAGCGCAGAAGCTTTGACGTTTCATTGAATTATTAGAGAAAGAAGACGATTCGTTGTATCGTTCTCGGTTGTTAATCATTGTCTGAATTCAGTTTCCATACCCCCTGCCGCGCGAAGCGCGGAAGCTTTGACGATTCATTAAATCATTAAAGAAAAAGTACCGTTCTCGACTCTTAATCTTTGTCTGAATTGAGTTCCCCCTCTCCCGCGTGAAGCGCAAAAGCTTAACGTTTCATTAAATTATTAGAGAAAGAAGACGATTCGTTGTACCGTTCTCGATTCTTAATCATTGTCTGAATTCAGTTTCCATACCCCCTCCCGCGCGAAGCGCGGAAGCTTTGACGTTTCATTGAATTATTAGAGAAAGAAGATGATTCGTTGTCCCATTCTCGATTCTTAATCCTTGTTTGAATTCATTTTCCCCCTTCCGCGCGAGGCGCGGAAGCTTTGACCTTTCATAGTTCAATGAAATTATTAGAGAAAGAAGATAGTTCGTTGTTCCATTCCCGACTCTTAATCCTTCTCTGAATTTAGTTTCCCCTCCAGCGCAAAGCGCAGAAGCTTAACGTTTCATTAAATTATTAGAGAAAGAAGACGATTTGTTGTACCGTTTTAGACTTGTCAAAAATGTTTCTTTGTCTGCTCCTTTTTTCGTCCTATGTCCTCTTACTGCCCCTACCGCCCCTAGCTACGCATGCTTTAAAGGGAAAATGAAACAATCATGATTGTGATAGCATACAATTAGGTCAGTAGAAATGAAAGGGGAAAAAAAAAGATCTATTTATACACTAACCATGAAATAATCGCGACCGGGAGCGTCATATCTTAGTTTTGTGTTATCGGCCGAGGGCCGGGGCGTAGCGACCAAGCGAGATTTTGCAATGTAGAATGCTGAAATTATGCATTCTAGAAAATCCTTTAGTCCAATATGTACGTTCTTTCCGCTACATGTATATTTCTTTCTAGCATTATATCTAAATTGCCGGGGGACGTGTACCTCTATCGGGCCCAGGATCGCCACCGCTGTCCATTATCATTACCAACATAAGTTCAAATATAAGCACAAGCGAGTTGGTATGAGCTGAATCCAAATGAAGGGCAAAATGAGAGTTGTGAAGCGGCCCCTTTACCGTTAATTTAAAATTTGACTGTTTAGTATATAGCTTCTATTTGAAAGGCATCCAAATATTGTGCCCTTTTCAATTTTTTTTCAAAAAGCAGGGGCTGTTTGTAACGTTTAACTTTGAATCCGTGGCTCGAGATTTTATGCGGCCGGCCCGGCCCCCTCTATTCAATAACGTTTCCCAAGCCTTCTGGAATGACCCCAAATCTCCCGATTACAGTTTCTCCCTTATTCGTCGTTACTGTCACTTAGCGCCATTTCCTTGTCTTTCCCCCTTTCTCACCCGACTTTTCTCTTCCCCTTCCCACCCCCCCCCCCCCCCCACCCACTCAGTGTTATCTAGGGTACGCGCATGTATGTTCACTCTCTTAGTTTGAAAGCACCCCTTTATCTTCGGTGTGTAAAGTCAGTGCGGGCCGGATTTGTGTGTATTACGGGCCGGACTTTGTTGCGTGAAAAGTAACCCTTTATCGGAAATTTTGGGAACACAAAATCGGAGTGGGAGTGAGATTGGGGGGGGGGGGGGTGTATCTTCTTCTTTTTTTCTTTCTCTCTCTCTCTCTCTCTTCTTTCTTTTCTCTTCTCTTTTCTTTTCTCTTCTCCTTTCTTTTCTCTTCTCCTTTTTTTCTTCTCTTCTCCTTTCTTTTTTTTCTCTTTTTTTTTGCGCCGCCAATAGGGGGGCCGCGGCCGTTTCGGCCCCCCTGGATCCGCCACTGCGGTATTTACAAGTATTTCAGTATTTTTGACCATATAGGGTACTTTAGGAGGGTTAGACTAGGTCCGAGGGGGGGGGGTACTCACAAATTAAGACATACG